CGCAGGCAGGGGGGCCCCGGGGCACAGGCAGCTGGGACTGAAATGCCCCAGCGAGTGCCAAGACGCAGGCACAACTTGTGGGGCTGGGACCCCCAGGGGGGACCAAAAGACATGGCCGAAGGAGGGCCCCTTGCCCAGAGTGAGTTCAGCAAAGGTGCTGCCTTGGCCTGGCAAGGGATCTCTGGTGTGCGGGCAGCAGGCGCTGCCTGTCCCCAGGCAACGGAGACGTCTGCTGCAGCACATTGGACCGTGCGATCCCATGGGAGCCTCTGGAGCAGGGGACGTGCTCTGAGGAGGAGAGATCCGGGGCAGGGCACGCAGGGGCAGGGCGCAGGTCATCCCCGTGCAGCTCCTGGCCCCAGGGTGGTTCCCAGCCCTTGTTAGCCCCAGTCCGTGCTTCCACACCTCGGCTGCAGCGCTCCCAGGGGAGGGGACAGGGAAGCGGTCACCCAGACACGCCAGCCACCCTGGGGATGGGGAGATTCTCCCCAGCACCCCCAGCCCAACCCCTGGCCAAGACACATCCCGTCCTGTGGCCGGGAGCAGCAGGCAGCCGAGGAAGCAGCCAGAGGATGTGCAGCCCTCATGCCTCAGCGATGCGGTAACTTCCTCCCGGCGGGGAGGAGCTGAATCCCACCCCCCTCCCCAGGACACGGAGCAGAGCGGAAACAAGCCCCAGCCCCGGTCCAGTGCCCTCGGCCTGTGGCACAGCTGAGCTGGGGACAGCACCGTGGTGGGTCCAGCCCGGGCCGAGTCCCTCCTGCTCACCCAGGTCCCTCCTGCTCACCCCTGGTTGAGGTCGTTCTCGGTGTTGTCCAGCCAGAGGCGCACGGCCACCGCGTTGCCCTCTCGGCACTGCGTGAAGATATCATCCATCGTGGCTCTTGCTGTGGAGAGGGGTGTGTAAGGACACAGGGCTCCTTGCCCCCCTTTCCCACAAGCAGCCCTGGGACCTGGACATCACCTCCCGCAGCCCCTCTGCCCCTGGCAGCCCCTCAGCTGGGCGTCTCCCGGGGGGAGCAAGGACAGGAGCCTCACACCCCCCGTCCAGTCAGCCCTGTGGAAAACCACAGGGACTACCAAAGGCTGGGGACAGAGCTGGGCTCGCGGTCGAAGGGGAAGTTCATGACTGACTCCAGCATCGTGGGTGCCTACAGCAGCTAACAGGAAGCAGAGCGGGCATCCACAGGCTTATCTGCAGGCCCAGGCAGACCCGGGTGCCCGCATGTCCCGGGAGGGGGTTGGGAAGCAGAGCTGGAGGAGGTCCAGCACCACCCTGCAGGGTTCCCATAGCTCCACAGACCCTCCCGATCCCCAGCTCCAACCCAGGCTTGGCTCAACTCGGCACAGCATCACACTCAACGAACTGGGACCCCAAAGGTCCACAAGCTCCCACACACACTCTAATCAGCAGACACCCCAGCCCAGAGCCAGGCAAAGAGCACATGTCCTGGTTCCATTTTTGACCCCTTGACAACGGCGGGTTCCCATAGCTCCACAGACCCTCCCGATCCCCAGCTCCAACCCAGGCTTGGCTCAACTCGGCACAGCATCACACTCAACGAACTGGGACCCCAAAGGTCCACAAGCTCCCACACACACTCTAATCAGCAGACACCCCAGCCCAGAGCCAGGCAAAGAGCACATGTCCTGGTTCCATTTTTGACCCCTTGACAACGGCAGCCTCGCTGAGACCCCGGGCTGCGCTGCCCCGAGCCCCCCAGCAGCACAGAGACGTGCCGGGCAGGTATTTCCTGCCTGGGGCCTGCAGCACCAAGCAGGGACGTGGGGCTCCTCAGCGAGTCCCGCAGCACAGGCGTGGGGACAGCCCAAGCAGGACGCCCCTGACGCACACCCGTGAGGGCCGAAACCTGTGCCGCTCAGGGTCCCCCCAGGGCCTGGTGGCCGCCCGGGACAGCCGCTCTGCCCATGTCGCATGCTCCAGGCAGCTACGTGGGGTGAGGGACGCAGCAGTCCCGCCTTGCAGACAGGACCCCCAGGCGGCCTCACAGGCACCAGAATGGGCTCTGGAACTTCCAGGGCCCTGCTCCCAGCTCACCGGCTGAGGAGGACGGAGCAGCGCTGCCCGTGAGCTGCGAGGAGCCAGCGCTGTGCCCCGACCCATGTCCTGCAGGTCCTGCCAGCCCCAGAGCCCCAAGACTGACGGCACTGCCCCCGGACTGGATTTGTCGCCCACCCATCTGGGATGTGACCAGGGAAGGGGCACCCCAGTGGCACTCCGTTCCCATCTCAGACCTCTGGGACCTGCACCCCACTGTCGCTGCTGCCTCTCCTCCCG